ACCCCCCAGTGGATGGCCCGAATTGCAAATAACATCAAATTCTATGCATACTATGATTTTTCATATATATGCATATCTATGATAAAGTTTAATGTGTAAATTAGGCACAGAAAAAATGAACAGTAACTAATAAAATAGAACAATTATGACAATGTACAGAAAATGAAAATAATTTAGAACTTATGAATTATTTATCTCTAGAATTTTCCATGTTGTATTTTCAGACTGCTGTTGACCAAAGGAAGTAAAGCTGCTAGGAGCAAAGCTGTGTCTACGGAGACCACACTGCTCTCTGCTGAAAATATCACATTCTTTCCTGTTTTGCAGTTTTAACAATCTCACCTCTCACAAGGACCATGGCTGAACTGAGCGAGTCACTTCCGCAAGGTGATGTACACAAGGCCTCAGTACACTGGGTACTGGGGTGTCTGTCCAGGGCCACAGCTTAGCAAATGACACACACTCAGAGGAGGCTCCAGACCTGGTTGCCCATTTGATTTGTGGAAGTTATCCCACATGTTGTGAGGAGAGTGGGTATTGATTCAAAAGGGCTTAAATAAATAAGTGGATGCCTAATTTGAAAAGGATTTTGGGCTGAGTGAGAGGACCCTCTACTAATTATAACAGGACAGAGAAACATTGGTCCTCTTGGAAAATGTTCACATGGGAGTTACGGATCACAAAAGGACTGGGAAGGCCTGTGGAGTCATTGGGCACAGATTTAAATGCAGACCCCATCACATCCCATGCTGGGGCATGACCATGGGCCTTGTGTTCACAGACATTTGTGGGAATAGTGGAGAGGAGTGGATGTGTATTCTTGTACAGTCACTTCCATATGCAGGGGATTCCTTCTAAGACTTTTCCATGGATGCTCGAAACCATGGAGAGTACCAAACCATATGTAGAATAAGATTCTCTCTATATATAAGTATGATAAATTTAAGTTATAAATTAGGTCTAGTAAGAGATTAAGCAATATCTACTAATAATTAAAACAGCATACCATAGTAAAAGTTATTTAAAACTTATGGATTTTTTAATTTCTGGAATATCCTATTAAATATTTTCTGATTGTGACTGAGCATGGATAACTGAAATCACAAAAATCAAAGCCTTAGATAAGGGAGGACATTTGTCTACAGACAGTTATGTTCTGATTTGGATCTTGAAGGTCTCTCATGTACTGAAGGTTTGGTGTCCAGCAGATGGCGCTAATGAGAGGTGGTAGAAACAGACAGGGAGTACTAGCTGGAGAAAGTAGGTCACGCGGGGTGTGACGTTGAAGGATATCTCTTGTTCTGGAACCTTCCCTCTCTCTGTTTCCTGTCCCCCATGAAGTGAGAAGCCTCCATTTCCACATGCAGAACCAGCTAACCAGAACCAAAACCTCAGAAACCATGAGCCCAAACAGACCTGCCTTCCTTCTCTTGGGTGGGTTAAAAAAGTCACAAAAAGCTGACTAGCAGCCCATGTCCTGGCACATTGCACATGCTCAGTAAACATAAACACCTTCCCTTGTCTGCCTTTCTGATCTATCTGTGCAAGCAGTGTGTTAACCGACAGGAAAGGGGAGCTAGTGTTTATAAGCTCCCCTTTACCACTCCACAAAGTAATCTCAGGCTTGTTACTCCCACTGGCTCTAAACGACAACCACCAGCAGTAACAGTGACTGTTTATTCACTCTAAGTGTTTAAAATCACTTATAGTGTGCTCAGGTTACTATGGCTGTGCAGCAAATCACCCTGAAACATACCCCAAGGCACGAAGCATGCGTTTACTCTGCTCTTGGATTTTGGATTTGAAGTTCAGAGATCTTGAAGGATGACTCTGCAGCCTCCGCAGGGGAACTTGGTGGCTGGAGCTAGAATCCCCTGGGGACATTCCCATGGCTGGAGAGATATTAACTCTGAAACCAGCACTCAGCTTCCTGCCATACAGGGGCTGGTTGGAAGGGGAGTGTCCCAAAAGACAGTGTCCAGTGGACACTGTAGCCCTATTGAGAACTTAGCCTTGGTGATCCAGCACTGTCCCCATCAGCACACATTGGTGTTGGGTATGCAGTGACAGACCTCTACCCAGACTGAAGGAGAGTCAAGATCATCCCTCCCAGCACGGTTGTATGGGCATGTGTGTGAGTCATTTTCTTGACCTTGACTGCTAAGTGATCTGAGAGGGCCCAGCCCATTGGGGGTGGTGCCACCTCTGGTCAGGTGGGCCTGAGGGGAATAAGGAGCACAGGCCAGAGGAGCAAGCCAGGAAGCAGCATTTCCCCATGGTCTCTGCTTCAATTCCTTCCTTCAGGTTCCTGATCTGACTTCCCTCAATGATGGATTATGACCTGGGAGTTGTAAGTTGTAAGAAGTCCTTTCCTCCCCAAGTGGGTTTTATTACAGTAATAGAAAACAAACTAGAACACTGGCACCCCAGTCATCAATATTTATAGTTCTGGAACCACTCTCTCCCACCTGCTGCCCTCTGTCATACGCAGTCCTCCCACAGCCAGCCAAGACTCTGGGTTTCAGGAGCCTGCCCTAGAGGGAGTGGAAGGCTTGCCCCTGTGTTTACTTGTGGCTCACTAGAGAGCAACAGTGAGCTTTCCCTGCCTCATCCCATCTTCTAAGAGGAAATGATGGTTGGAAACTTCACCACTGCCTGATTATCAATTCTGAATGTGTAACCTTTCCTAACCTACTGAGTGGATGATGAACAGACCCTCTGTTCACACTTAAAAATGGTCATCTGTGGCATCATCTCCTCCAAGGGAGTGGGAGGGAGCACTGGCTTTTCTGGGTTAGTTTGGGGGTTCCAGGAAGAAACTTCTGGTCCTTGAATGGGTCATGGACCATCTTTAGAAAATCACTCTCCTGGGGATTAGTCTCAGATCTGGAATGCCCTCATTGTCAATTTCCCTGTCCCCTATGCTTAAGAGATCCCTGTTTGTGGGGCTGGAGAGATGGCTCAGTGGATAAAAATGCTTGCTGCATCTGCCTGAGGACCTGAGTTCATATCTGTAAAATCCATGTAGAAAGCTGGGCATGACTAAGTGTAACTCCAACACTGTTGTGAGCACCAGAGACAGTAGGATTTCTGGGGCCTGATGGTTACCAGCCTAGGTTCAGGGTCTCAAAGGACTTAGGCATAGAATGATAGAGCAGATGCCTAACATCCTCCTCTTCTAACCTCAGTGCATGAACACACATATATTAATACACCAGACACCCCCCCCCCATCTCCATTGGCTATCACTAAGCAGACAATTAGTTTCCTTGTTAGAGAAAGTCAGTGAGAAAGGGGGCGGGGGACATATTGCTTGCCACTAGAGCATCAAGAGGCCTGAGTGACAGCTCTCCTTCTGGACCCCCAGCTGCCTCTCCAGGCCTTAGGCAGGATTGAGAGGAAGTGTCACTCACTGGACAGGAATGTCTGGGCTGCCTCTACCACCCCGGAGTTGGGAATACTGGAGGTGACCTCTAGCTCCTCAGGTGACTGGAGACTGTACTGGTAGAGGTGAGATGTGAAGCTTTAAAGCAGTTCTTTGGTGGGCACAGCTGGGCTTTGCCACTTGGAAGGGCCAGTGTATTTTAAAAGCAATTGTTTCCTCAGATAGGGTTGGGGCTTCTAATCCACTTTCCCCCTCTGTGCTGGGAATTTGTCTGGCTTGAGTTTATGTAGGTCTTGTGATGCTGTCACCATTGCTGTGAGTTCATAAGAGTAAGTGGCCAGCTGTCTGGGAAACTGTTTCCTTGTGGTCATCCACCACCTCTGACTGTTACAATCTTTCTGCGTCTTCTTCTACCATGACCCCTGAGCCTTGTGAGGCAGAAGTTTGATATAGGTGTCCTACTCAGGGATAAGTACCTGCAGCCTCTAATTGGCCAGTTGTCATTCCCTATGGGGATATATTTTTAGAGTACAGAAATTTGGTGGGGGAACTAGAAAGGGGGGTTTAGATACAGGAGGGGTTATCAAAATACGATAAAAATATGAAATTTACAAAAAAAATTTAAAAATAATGATAAAAATGTAAAATATGTTATTTAAAACTCTTAAAATTTATGTGTGTATGTGGTTATCAAATACGAATAAAAATATGAAATTTACAAAAAAATTTAAAAATAATGATAAAAATGTAAAATATGTTATTTAAAACTCTTAAAATTTATGTGTGTATGTGTGTGCTTGCTTGCTTTATGTGCACCATGTGTGTGCAGTATCTATGGAGGACAGGACATAAGATGCACTAGAACTGGAATTATAGGCAGTTATGTCTCCAGATGTGGGTACTGGCAACAAAACCTAGGTCCCCTGCAAGAGTAACAAGTGTTCGTAACGACTGAGCCATCTTTGCAGCCCCCAAGGGCTAGTTTCTGATCTGGCTCTGTCCATCAAGTAGAGGAACTCTGGACCAGTCACCTAAACTGCCAGCTTCCCAATTCTTATAATACCTACTTTACCCATGAGGAAATGGGAATGGAGAAACAGGATTTTGCCCCTAGTGCTGACACTCACTTGTCTTATTGGCAGCAATAAATCTCTGATTGTGAGACAGGCAGTGCATGGGAGGGTCCCAGAGGGTCATCTGTCCCAGACCTGGATGGTTGGCTGGAAGCAGCTGTGGGGCCCCCTCTACTCCAAGCTTCAGCTCCAGTGATCCTTAAAAGATGGAGTTTCCTCCCTTGCCTGACTCCACCATCTCTAACCTTCATCACAACTCTGAATGAAGTTGTTTTTAAAATGACAATAACAGAGGTCAGAAAACAGAGGTCCAGAGATGTGTCATGGCTTGCCCCAAGTCACACAGCATGTCAAAGATAGAAAGTTTTGGCTTTGGTATGGATATACCAGGGGTTGGTAACAAGCCCAACTCTTCTGCCTTCCTCCCCCATCCCCTGTACCGAAAAGGAAGATCGTTTCCTATTCCTGGCTTCTCTGCCAGCCTGGAGAATCAGTGCAGAAGAAATGTTTCCAAATACATCAGGATGGTCTTTGGGGTGTTCTGGGCTTTGCTGTCTTGACATGTTTCCCAGGAGACTCTGGGAAATGCAGAAGCAGAGTCTCCAACAGCAGCTGCAGGCCCCAGGGCTACGTACCTGCTTGCAGAGTTTTGGTCCCGAGAGGCAGGCTGTGTGCTCAGACTTGACCATGTTTGGGCATGGAGGCTCAACCCAGATGGGACGAGAGGTTGCTTCCCTGGAGACTGGCTGGGAGACCAAACTTCCTGCTTCAGTTCCAAGGCCTGACTTAGGGTGGGGGTGGGGGACTGGGCAGAGAGAAACCATCTGCAACCGAAGACCCACAGGGCCCAGGGAACTGTGAGTACTGGGTCCCTGAGTGCTTGGGAAGGGCTTCTGGGAAGGTGGGGGCTGAGGGATGATGGTTGGGGACAGAAGTCTGTGATGGCAGGGACAGGGTGACTGAAACTCCCATCTCTCCTGCTGCCATCAGAGTTCTGGCACTAGAGGGCCTAGCATGAAGACCTGGGTCTGAAAGTCATTTGGGGGGCTTGAGAGGGGTGCTTCCAGAGTGGCCAGAAGGAAATAGCCTGGAGATCTGGACCAGTCCTATCACTTGTCACCAGCGAAGGATGGGACAGCAAATAGACTTGACAGAGTGCTCTGGGCTTCCTCAGTTCCCTTTGTTGATAATGATAGCAACTGTTCATCAAGGGCTTCCACCCGGGCAAATTTGGGATGTTCAGTATGACTGGTCTGACTGCAGCAGGCCTCTGTGAGGCAGGTATTGTTTTTCTTGTTTTACAGTCACGTGGTTGCTAAGCAGCAAAACCAGGACTTGATTTCATGTCTGATGACCTCAGACCCTCCCTCCGTCACACTCCCCCAAACCCTTACACATTCTATCCCCTATCCTTCTAAGGAAGAGGGGCAGAGTCCCAACTGCTGACACATCTGTCAGGTCACATAAGACTCTCCGAAATCCTGCCTGCCTTCCTTTCCTCTTTTCCCACTTTCCTAAATTCAGCCCAGATCCCAAGTGACTTTTTCTAAACAGAAAGATCCATTCAATGAGTCCTGAAATCCTCAGCAACTCTCAAATCTGGAATTTTCTTCCTATAGTCTAAGTGAAAACCCTTCTGTTATCTCTGAGACCCATTTATGACTATTGAGGCCATGGGGAATATCAAAGCCCCATCTTTCTTCCTGACAGAAGGTTTTCTTTAAGGCTACCGAATCCCAGCTTCCTACCCAAGTCTCATATCTAAACAGAGTCCCATGGTCCCATCCAGAGAGTCTGTTGTCTCCTTGCAAGCCCATTCACTCCATAGAGGCTGTGAGTCATCAGAGCCTTGTAGACAAGTCAAACTGGAACAAGCCACAGGTACTGGACCTCTGTAACAGAGGGCTCCCTTTCCTACCCACCCCCAAGCTCCCAGCTTCTGTCAACACCAGCCCTAGAATGCCCAGTGGTCTGGTCTGACAGGGTACAGGACATTGTGCAGCAAAGCGGGATTGACCCACTGGAAGGAGCTGGCACCCTGAGAGAATCCCCCATCAATGTATCCAGATTTTCAGAGAGAAGTTTGGCTGCAGAAACTTGGACTGGTTTCCAAAATGCGATTCTCCATTGAACCTAGCTGATTGTGTCCCGCGGTCCCAGGGATTGGGCCTGGTGTCAGGTCCTTTGGAGCTCTATTGCTTTACTTATGAATACCTAGATGACCTTGCTAAACTGGCACCAGGCAGACAAGGCATGGTTCTCCCAATTGGCAATGGGTCGCACAGAACAGAAGGAAAAGGGGACCAATGAACTGAGCACAACAAAAAGCCCTCTTGGTCACTCTGCCCACTGTGACTTTCCATTACAAAGTAGGGGAGGACCCCTCAGTGCCCCAGTGAGGAAGAACCTGATGTGAATGGATGCCGTCTCAATCAATCAAAGGCAGAGAAGGGTCAGCTTGGAATAGGACTGTATCTTTGGTTCCTGAGCATGGACTCTCCTTATGAGGACAGGCTGGGGAGGGTCAATACTTCAGACCAATACTGAAGACAGAGGTCAGAGCACCAAAAAGCACTTTATGGAACATCACTGTGATCTGTGCCTGTCTCCTGGGCACTCTCCAACACAAAAACAATGTGTTTGACTTTAGGGATCTGGCAGAGGGAGTAAAGTTCTCCTTACATTTGATTAAAATTTTTCCTGAAATAGGAGGACATAGGAAAAGAATCCTATGACCCTGGCACTGTTGGTAGCAAAGAATTCTGATTACTTAAACAAAAAATAACTATAGACATTTACCAGAAGGCCTTGGGCCAAGGTGGGGCCTCATTAGGTCAGAGTGCGGTCGAAGTCACAATGTTCCAGATACAACATGAGTGATGCTGGTGTTTGAGTACATCCTCTCTTACCTGCCCTCCTTTCTATGAACTGCCTGTCACCTGGGCTGGTCTCATATCTGTTTGCCTTTGTGACCCTAGAAATGATTGCTGCCCCCAGTGGCCATGGTGAAGAAGCTGGTGATGGCCCAGAAGCGGGGAGAGACAAGAGCCCTCTGCCTGGGGGTAGCCATGGTGGTGTGCGCCGTCATCACCTACTACATCCTGGGTACCACTGTGCTTCCCCTCTACCAGAAAAGGTACTGACCTCCCCACTGCCTGGGTCTCTCCAGACCTGCCAGCCTTAGCCTTCTGCCTGCCCAACCCTTGACCCAGGCATTCCTCATTCTTAGGTTCAAGGGTTCCAGTGTTGAGGGGCAGGCTGGCTCATCTGGAGCCCTGCTGGTCTGTGACCTGGTGGTGACAGGTGCAGGATGCCCTTGCCATAAGAAACAGTCTTCCTGAGTGTGTGTGATGCCAGAGAGAGTCAGAATGGCTGACTTTGGTAGCTTGTCTGCTTAGTTACTGAAAGAGTCATCTGACGATTCTATGGAGTGCCTCTCCTCACAGAGCACATCTCTTCATGCCTGGGCTTTTCCTAGAAGTAGGAAGTTTCTGCACTGAGTTGATATCTGCTCCCCTGGAACTCTGGGCAGGAATCTCAGCAAGTGCTTCATACCTCCTGCTCCCTGGCATGTCAAAGAAGAGCTGTGGAATTCCTGATCTGTGTTGTCTTTGGACTAGATAGATACACTCCGTTTTCTTAGTCTACTTTTGCTGAGTCTCAGACCCTTCACTGGACATGTTCTGGTTGCTGACAACCTTCTCCCACCTGACAGTGAGTCTCCCTCAGGATAGAGGGAACTGAGTCACAGTCTGTTCACTTGTGTGTTGATGAGCCTGTTGGCCTCTTCTGGGCCTGCCTGGTTCTTGCGTTTTACAAGGCAACCGTCATTCCAGGCCAGATTCTCACCCAAGTGAGGCACTGCTGGGCAGCTGTGTGCCATCAGCACGTTATCTCCAACTCTAACTCTATCTTGCTATCCTTCTACCCTGGCTGGTACAGACCAAGCCCTTCCCATACCCGCTCACATTTTAGGGAAAAGAGCAGTGATTCCGGGGTCACTTAGCTCTTAATTCAGGTGCTGTATGCCCCCAGAAAAGTTACCTGTCTTAAGTTTTTAACTACTCCCGTAACATGAAGGTGATGCTGATAAAGGGTCTCAGGCTTAGTTGCTCATCATAATCCTTTCAGAAGCATTTACACACCGGAACCTGGCCCCAACGCCTGAGAAATTCCAGATCACTCGCTCTAGGATGGGACTCAGCAGAAGGGATCCTTTTAAAAATTCCCAGGTTTGTGGTGAACAGGAAGGACAAAGAACCATCAAGTAGACAGTGCTCAAAACCCAGCCATCTCTGAAACTCTTAATTTCTGATTCCTCATGGAACCCATGGACTCTGGAGTCATGAGTTGTTGGTGTTATATGCTTGTGACAAGATGAAGGTCCCAGCCCCGGGTCTCTCCAAAGATTCTCAGGGGACTAGAAATTCAAAATGGGTGCTGCGTGTCACCTTTCTTCTGAGATGTATGTGTATGTGTCTTCCCAGTGTGTGGACCCAGGAATCTACCTGTCACCTGATTGAAACCAACATCAGGGACCATGAGGAGCTGGAGGGCAAGAAGGTGCCTCAGTACCCATGCCTATGGGTCAATGTATCAGCTGTGGGCAAATGGGCCATGCTGTACCACACAGAGGACACTCGGGATCAGAACCAACAGGTGATGAATGTGGGCTGGGTATACATCTCTATAGGTCTGTGACTCTGTCTCTAATGACAATTGCCTCTAAAGTCAAAAAAGATTAAACCACCTGAATAGGCTCTTATGGCTGGTGTGAGCTGGAATTAGGGTGTGTGACTGACTAGTGCTCTAGGCTCTCATCCTCTCTTACAGCTTGCTCTCAGTTCCTCCCATGAGGCTTAGTCTTGGGCTAAGGCTAAAGGGCTCTAAATCCTCTCCTGTAGTCTGTGCTGAGCAGAGGGAATCCTGGGACTTAGGGCAGGGGCTTCAGCATTTCAGTTGGTGCAGATAACTCAGGGCCGCCTACACCAGGGCAGAGACAGAGAGGTAGGAAATGCTCCAGACCTCAGCTTATCCATAGAGATTGAACTCCTGCCTAGGGTCTTGTTAAACAGACCCAGAATAAAGGATCTGGAAGAATGCCAGGCAGGTAAAAGGCAATAGTACCCCAGAAAGGGGTCTCCACATCAAAGCTCATGCATGGGCCCCTCTTTAAATGCGAAAGAAGCAGCCATTGCAATTTCATAGATGAGTCAACAATATTGTTAATAATATTATGAATACTTACTTCTTCCATGTTTTGAAGACTTACCAGGAGTCAGGAGTCAGGCTCTGTGCTAAGTGCTCTACATAAGTTGCCTAGTTTAATCCTCAAGGTAGGTATCACTACAAACCTACTTTACAAAGTTGAGAGGTTGTGACCATTGCCAAGGTCACACAGTTTGGAGGTTGTGCTTGAACCCAGGCCTACTTTGCTCCATAAAGAAACCTGACTCAATGGGTAAAGTTACTCCAGGTGACAGTCCTGCCAGTGAGGATCCTTGAGTGCCCAACACCTCTGAAGGCCAGGGTCCTCAGGAGCCTCAGCTGTTTCGTGGCTTGCATCTGCCTGTGACTCTGTTTCCTGGCATCAGTACCACACTTCAGCATCTCTGCTGTTGGGCTAGATGTCATCAGAGTGGGCAGCTTGGGGAACAACTGAGGCCTGGGGAGAGGCTGGCTCAACAGTTAACATTTGAACCTCAGGCTTATGCTTTTGACCTTGGACATGATTTTACTAAAGCAGCGATCTTTAAACTTCTCTGTTTCTCCATCCTCGTGACTCAGAGGATAGGAGCCCGTGTTTATGTGCATTTCTCCAGGTATTTCACCACAGGTGTAAAGAGAGACTCACCCTTGCAAAATATCTCTCAAGGTTCACACGAGCAACCCTCAGGCCTGTTGGCACAGAACAGAAATAAAACCCAGGTCTCCACTTTGTGCCGTCTTTGCAGAGCTTTGCAGCTGGTCTTCATCAGAACAGTCTAGAAGGATTCTAATGTGCCAGAGTTAAATGAGTGTCGTGTTCTGTCTGCCTGGAGCTCTTTTCTGTGCTTTCCCTCCCTCCTTTGGATCCTGTCACAGACTGACTTGCCAACATATTTTCTTTGGCTCACACAGGATTAGACTTCAAAGAGTTTTCCATTTGAATTTTGGCCAATATTTTGAAATTGTGAGTTTGCATTAAGATCGGATTTTCTGGCTTCTCTTGATGTGTTGGTGGATGGTATGGCGTCCATTGTCTGGAGGGAGCAGTGACTGCCCTTCTAGATGGAGCAGGCTCACTCCCTCTCACCAGGTCCTGTCCCTCTCTGACTGTCTTCCCTGGCACCAAAGCAAATGCCCGTTGGATCCTGCCATTGCCTGCCTGGCTTCATCATTTGATGCATGTGACCTGTCCTGAGTCCACATACAGAACCTACTTGTCCCTTGACTTGTGTCACATTGTTCTCCCTACCTATTGTGTATGATGTTCTTCTTAAATAACATATAGTGAAAATGATAGTTACTAACCCATTTCAGCAATAAAGTCCGGAAGTTTCAGCAAGGGTGAACAGTTTGCCTAAGACTTCATAGCCAATAGAATAGTCTTGACTCTAATGGCATCCCACATCTAGGTGTGCAGTGTGGCTCCAGGGCCACCATCCACACACAGACACTGACTGTGAGCTTCAGGATGGACACACAGTGCAAACAGGAGCCCCAACTCCAACCCTGAGTCCGACTCCTAAGCCAGTATTTCTTTCTTCCATTCTAGAGCCTCACCCTGGCTCTCTTGGAAATGAACTTGTTGAACCCTGAGCACCCTTGCTTCTCCCCCATAGTGCTCCTACATTCCCACCAACCTGGACAACTACCAGATGGCCCGGGCCGACGTGGAGAAGGTCAGAGCCAAATTCCAGGAGCACCAGGTTTTCTACTGCTTCTCTGCACCTCGAGTAAACGAGACCAGTGTCCTGTACCAGCGCCTGTATGGGCCCCAGACCCTCCTCTTCTCCCTCTTCTGGCCCACCTTCCTGCTGACTGGTGGCTTCCTCATTATTGCCATGGTGAAGCTTAACCGGTCCCTCTCCATTCTGGCAGCTCAGAAGTAGACCGTAGACGGACCCACTCTACATAAGGCATGCTTGCGAGTCACCAGGGACAGAGGGAGGAAGTGAGCAAGGCTGCTCCTCCTTCAAATACATGTCTCCTCTTTTATTCACCTGATACCTTTGTGAAGTCATTTCCTGCTCAAGAATGTTTAATAGCTCCCTGGCATCTTTGAAGGACGAAAGGTCAGTCAGCCAGTTACAGTTCCCCACTATCTGTCCTCAATCGACTCATATCTGTTATCCATTATGTCACTACCCCTCAAAATGATGAAGATTGTCACCGGTGTTCCAATGTTTTCTCTTGGCTCAAGAGCCTGCCTATCCAACCTAGGATGCTACCTTTGGCAAACTTCAGCTTCTTTTTCAAATTCTAGGATATAAACAATAGCTCTCATTTACGGGGCACACTTAGTATATTACTTTTTATAAAGGACATTAAGTCACATATGCATATTATTCTAAAATACTGTTGTGCCTTGGCATCCATGGGGGATCAGTTCTAAGACTCCCTCAGATGCCAAAATGTACAGATGCTGAGGTCTCTTACACAAACCAGTGCAATGTCTGTATGGAGTCTCCGCATACCTTCCCGTGTGCCTTACACCATCCCAGATGATTAGTAACACCCACTACAATGTCAATGCTGTGTTAATAGTTACAATTTTGTTTTGTTTAGGGAATAATGACCTGAGAAAGTCTGTCCCTATTCAATGCAGATGCAACATTTTCCCTGGAAATGCTTTCAATTGGCAGTTGATTGCATCTAATGGTGCAGAACCCGTTGATGCAGAGGCCGAACCTAAATATGCAGAATAACAGAAGTTTATGAGGAAATAAACCAGTACACATCAAAATGTTACCCACGGGATGCTGGTTGACTTTAATTTTCCTCCTTACTCTTCCTTTTGTTTTTGGTTCTTGTCTCAAATTTCAGTAATAGGAAGATTGTGTACTGTTTTTTTTTTGCTTTTAATTGGAAAGGAAAAGATGTTATTTTGGAAAAAGTTAAAAGGGGGCCACCCTCAATGAGATGAGGGTGGGCTGGGAGGGGCTGTTTCTCCTGTCAGAGGCAAGCTGAGGGGACCCAGTGTTAGGCTCCTTAGACACATAGGAAAGGCACTCACACGAGGACTTGTGGTTTACCTTGAAAGTCACCTTTTGGCACTGAGCCCGACGCATAAGCATGTCTTAGATTTGAAAAAGGTAAAATTGGATGGAGCGTGAGTGACCATCACCACTGCCTGCCACTGTGATTTCAATGTGTCCCCTATAAACACAAGTGTTGGAAATTAATCCCAAATTCTGATGTTAAGGGCATTTAGAGGTGGACCATTTGGAGATGATTAGGGTTAGATGAGGTCTTGAGAGTGGGCCCAGATGATAGCACTAGCATCTTTATAATGACAGAAGAGAGACGGGAGTTAACATGTTGCTCTGCCTCACCTTGCAATGCCCTTCACCACATGGATGCCACGGGGCCAGGTGAAGAACACCATGTCATCCCTGCAATGGATCTGATACTCCTCCCAGGGAGCCCCAATACATGCTTGAACCCTTCAGTTTCTTATCTGCAAACTTTCCTTTCAAGGGCAAGTAGCTTGCCATTCCCTACGGCTTCTCCCCTTTGGGGTCAGCAAAGTCCCATGGAGTCTTCGAAGAAAGTCCAGTTGTGTTGTTGCACTATAGTTTACAAAATGCTACTATTGGGGGAAATTCAGTAAAGGGTAGGCATGATCTCTCTGTATTATTTCTTACAAGTACATGTAAATCTACAATTATCCCCCCAGTATAAGTTTAATTTTAAAAGAGAAAGGAAAGGTCCCAACAAGAAGTCTGATTTTAAGGGGTCACTTTGCACAGGCTTCTGTGTACCTACATTTGGGACAAAAACTCAGAATATCCAAATAGCCCTTGCAGGAAGAAAGGGTTTGTCCTTTCAGAAAAATTAGTATCTGGAGATGCCTAGCCTCCGTTGCCCCATGCATTAGTAGTAACTCCCTTCATCTACCTGGGGAAAAAATGTTCTCCACCTGTGAACAGGGCCCGGCCTACTTCTATCAAATACCACACCTGTCTGTGCTCATTGAACTGCATGCAGAGGATGAGCATGAAATAATGGGCATCTAAGCGTGATGAAGTTAGACATGGAGGAGGAAAGGTGATCTTGGCAACAGTGGCCGTCTGGGAGCAGAGAGCCCTCACTGGTTCTTAGTAGGCTGCTGATAATAAGCACCAAGTATTGACTCTCAGGGACCAATGACTCACACTTGCAGGGATACATGTAGCCCACTCCTCCAGGTGCTCCCCCACAAAGAAATCAGACCACCTTGTGGAGATCAGAGACAAAGAGACCTCTGAGATTCTGACTTGGGGTAGAAAGGACCCTTGTGGGATATTCTAATAATACTCAGCCTCTGCTTGCTAGCCAAGGCTATAACTAGAGAAAGTGGGTTCCTCCCATTTTTGAAGGTCTCAAGGGCAAAATCTCGCATGCTTTTCATGAAATATCTGCTCTCTGTAAACCTGGAAGTCTAGGGAGGGCAGAAAGATGAATCAGATACTTGCCTTCAAGGAACTGCCTCCCCTTTTAACCACCCGGCTTCTGCCCCCACTACCACCATTATTAAAGTTCCTTCTTCACAGTGAAGAACCTGAATTATGCACATTAAAATCATGCAATACAAATTTAAATTTTTTGTGACTTATTGAAATGATGCCTGTTCTCCCTCTCTAAATCAACAGGTCCCACTCCAAGCTTCTCCTGGTGTTCTTCCCTTAAGTTAGCCAGTTACAAAGTACATCAACGCCATTGCCAACTAGCAAGGCATGCTGGTCTTAAGACTGTCCAGTGCCCTTTAAGTTCATCTTATTCTCGAAGGAATTTGAATTTTATGAAATATTCAGAACGATACTGTTTGAGAGAAGTGCAGCTGTCCTGTCTTTCACTAGTCACTGTCTTTTCATAAGCAGATAGAAAAGAACCATCAAGCCCAGGTGAGACACAGAGATTGTTCCTAGAGTCTAGGGCTGCAACCCTCAAAGTGGAGACCTCCAGGGCCACAACTCCTGTGTAAGGATGTTAAGATGTAAATCACATCTCTTCTCATGTTCTTAAGAATATATGACAAAGTTTTTCAGATGGAGGTTGTGTGACATACACTGTCACAGCAGGTTGACTGCAGAAATAGCTACGGAATTCCACCTGCTTTATTATATTTCAAAACTGTAAAACCATGAGACTTCCATCAATAACAATGTTTTGGAAAATAAAATTGTTTTGCCCAAAAGTGTATTTGTAGCATGTAATAGATTTGTTATTACTTTAACAGAAAGAAATGGAAATGAAATATATTTAAAGTTCCTAGTTTTAATTGTAAAATGGCAACTATTAGATACAGTTCATACACACCAAGTGTCCTTGGATCACTGATTTTTAAAAAATATTTTATTTATTATTTTTATTTTACCTGTATGAGTGTGTTGCCTGCATGTATATGAGTACACCCATGTCGTGCAATGCCATGGAGGTCAGAAGAGGGCTTTGGATTCCCCTGGAACTGGAGTTAAGGACGGTTTGTAGCTGTCATGCGGGTGCTGGGAATCGAACCCAGGTCCTCTGCAAGAGCAGTCAGTGCTCTTAACCCCTGAGCTATCTCTCCAGTCCCAAGGATCATTGATATTTTATGAGAGTGTAAAGGGCCCTGAGTCCAGAGACTCTTAGAAGTGCTGATTGAGATATCCAGAGTCCACATCTCTCCCTCACCATGGCCATGGTTCCTCAGATTCTCACTGAAGGACAGAGGGAAGGTTTTAGTTTTCTGGATGGCCCCTGGCTCCCTAGTCCCTCTTCTACAGAAGTGAATGGATTATCTCTCTGTCTACAAGTGCTTTTCTGGGTCATTGTCATGTCCATGAAGAACTCAGGGTCTTTGTAGGCTGTCCATCTCTTCCTCCCTACTCACATAAATGCATAGTCACCAGTCACCTTCCCTAGGGTTTGGGAGTTGGGTAAGGGAAATAGGTAGATGCGCAGCAAACTCCAAACTTAAAATAGGTAAAGTGAGTGATTCATCCCAAGGCTGGCTTCTTTTCCCCAGATGCAGTCAAAGGTGGATTATAGGAACTTTGATCCCCCGTAATCCTCTGATTCCATAGCAAACTCCACCATTCTCAGCACACATGGAATAAAAGCAGAGGCTTACTAAACATATGCATCTTCAAGACAGGACTTTTTTTTTTGGCTTTTTGGCTTTTTGGCTTTTTGAAGCAGGGTCTCCCTGTAGCCCCAGGTGTCTTGGAACTCACTATGTATACCAGGCTGGCCTTGAACTCACAGAGATCTGCCTCTGCCTCCCAAGTGCTGGGACTACAGGAGTGCGTCACCACGTCCAGCAAGGCAGGACTTTTATTCCCAGGTACTACACAGTGGTTAGCCAGGCACCCCACTTGCAACTAGCATCTGAAGTGGGGCAGAGTCTCGTGAGATCGCATCATTAGCCTTAGAGTCTTCTGTAATTCTAGGTAGTACCAAAATTGAATTGAATTGTAGGACGCTCAATTAGTGTCAGAATTGGTTGGTATCAGAAGAGAAATAACTTTCCTATTTTATGTCAGAAGCATTACCAGAGAGAAAACCCTCACATTTTTCTGCATTTCCCTTTAGTGACAGTCTGTATTAGCATTCTTGATGAAGAACTCACTGGACCAAGATGTAGTCTTTCCATTCTGGAGTATGTTTAGCTAACCACTCCCCACATAAGAGTTTGTCATTCTTAATAGTCTTAAAAACTAACATTTGTTGAGCACCTGTGTGCCGGGATCTGGGCCAAGTCTTTCCATATATGGCTCATTTAACACTGACATCTTCCTCTGAGGTTAATATTGGCATCTCCATTTCATAGACGAGGTAACTGAGGCACAGGGAAGGGATTTAACTTGCCCCAGAAGTTAGTGAATAGGAGATATGGGATTTAAACCTAGACAGTATTCCTTCAGATTTCCATATGGCTCTAACTACTAGGATCTTTGTTCTTCCATCTCATCCCCATATCAAGAGTGTGAAGGCCAGATACTGAGAGCCTGTTAGGTACCCTGATTGCCCTTCACACTGAGCCAAGACTCTTACACATTCTCTAAGCAATACCTCTAAAGAGCCAGTAAATAGGAGTGCTATCCAAGAAGAAGCACTTGAAATGTGGGCACTGCCAAGACCAACTGGGGCTGGTTACAATCTTCCTGAGGCTATGTCCAGCCCACAGCCCATTTGGCTACCTAGAGCCCAGGCATGTTCCAGCTTCAGTGAGCCTTTCATTACTGGCCACTATTAGAGAACAGAATAGAAGGGCAATTGATTCCTGTGGCTTTTTCAGTGTGACCTCATCCTTCTCCCAGTGACCCCTTCTTTCATTCCTTAGTGTTTACAAACCATCAGCTTAATAATGATCTCCAGAATTTTCCCAAAGTTGACAGCATGATCATTTGCATTTATCCTTCTCTATCATTAATAAAATTTTGGCCATGTGAAACTTTCCTGGCATCTGTGAATACACTGGCTGTGGTTCCCCAGTTTCTTCTAGTCTTTCCAGCTCTTGAAATCAAATTCTCTGTGCCACTAGGCAAAACACTGATGTGGAACAGCCAGAACCCTTGAAGTTCCTGGCCCCATGCAAGCTTTGCATGCAAGTTCTCAGATCTTTCTGTGAGGATGGTGGGAACAAATTCAAAGAGAATTTGGTCTTGCCTGCCCTGCCATCAGGCTATTGCACCAACCAGGTGCAGCCAGCATTTATTTTTACTTTCAGAACATTTTTCAAATGGCCTGTTCTCATTCTTACAGTTCTGGGCCCAAGTGCCAGCTCAGTGTGACATTACTCATACGACCTTCAACTATGACGTATTTTTATTTAGTGATGGAGTCTTCAGGGAAGGAAGCACAGAAAACCAACAATTCAAACCTGGCTTTGTCCATGACCTTGGGAAGTTTATTTAATCTCTCTGAGGCTCAATTTCCTCAATTGGAAAACAAGAGTAACTTCCTTTCTTTTATAGGGTGCTTACGATGATTCAGTGCAATAATGACTGTGAAGTATTTGGCGCATTAAAGATGCTCCATAAATGAGTCTCTTTGTACCAACCAGGGAGATTCTTTTCTGTTGAGAGCTCTGAGGACTTTCTGCTGTCTTTTCTTGGTAACAACATCCCGTCTTATTTCTTTAGCATATGCTTGAGGACTGCTTTTGTTTTGATCTTTCTTTCCTTAGTCATCTTAAAAATTTTGGCCACATGCAAATTAAATATCTTTGCTTTGAAAATTCTTGAATCTGCTTATATAAATTTAGTTCTTGAAGAAAAGCAGTCTTGCCCTTGAGACTCATACCCCTGCCTTGTCACGGCATCCCAAGAGACTTTTTCTTTGATAGTCCACTTCATGGCAGAATCATTACCCATAATAATGATAGGTCTGGACGGAATAATCTTCCCAGTGTGAGACAGGCAAATCCCTTGGCCCAGAAATCAGGCTTAATTGGAAATTAAATTGCATTTCTATGCCATCTGCAGGATGCCTATATCCACAGCTAATTTATCAAGGTGATGCCTTATCTGGAGGAAGCCCGTGGGAATACTGGCTGCCTCAGCAAAACTTCAAGCTTGTGCCTGTTGAAAAGAACTTTCTTTATAGTGCAGCCTGAGCTCTGAAAGTTCCTCATTTGGGGTTTGTATGTTCATTGGCTGCCTTCTCTGTGCCAGGTGCTGAGCCAGGACCCAGAAATGTGGGTACCAATAGGACATGGCTTATCTTCTAGTGGTCATGGGCAAGTGGCAGAAGGGAAGTCATATAGGCAAAAGATTCCATAGCCGCAACACCTAGTTATCTGGGACTGAGTAGCATGTAGTGAGTGCTATGAATGGGTTCATGTGAAGGATTTGCTTTTTGTCTCAAACACTGATACTGATTGAGATGATTGAGTCTGTGCCAGATTCTTCCCCAAGCTCTTTGCACACCTCATTCCATCCTTTGGACAGCTGTAGAAACAGGCTTACTAGGGTTTTCTTTCCCTCTGTCTTACTGATGAAGAGCCTGAGGATGAGAAGGGGAGTCATTTGCCTGAGGTCACTACCCTGCATCTACCAGGCATAGCCTTTGCTTTCAATTCTATACTCTACTGCCATCTTATTTCCATTAACTTTTAATTTAAAAATGTTCAACTAGAGAAAAGTTATGAAGTTATGAGCAGGTATAGTGCTCGCCCTGATTTACTCAGGATTAGTAATACTTCAATAAAATTGTATTCTTTTTCTGTGTCTCTCCCTCTAAGCATAGGATTGATAGTCCCCACACCCCCTGTGTGTGTGTTCACTGTTTGAGAGTCAGATTCAGGAACACAAAACACAGGACATGGGGCCCAGTTTGGCTTGGGGAGAATGTGCATGTGGGAGAGGGAGGCAGGGATAGGGAGTGACTGATTTCTTTGGGTTGTGCTGGGAGGACCAGGCCATGCCTGTACTCTCACACAGAATGGACAGCAATTGGCACAGCAGCATAACAGCATGACTTTTCTTGACAGTATTAAGAAATCTATGAAACCGAAGGTGTGGCTTTAGCAAGTGATAGCTACATGGCTTACAGTGAAATGTTCATGTTCACTGAAAACAATTCAAACAGTATGGAGAAGCATCGAGAACTTTACGGAGGGACACTGACTGATGCTGCAAGCGAGGAAGGACTGCTGACTGATGTGGTGCTATTTTACATTTACTTCCCTTTGTCTTTTAGTTCTTAAACCTGGATTTTTGCATGAATATTTAATTGTTTTACCTTTCTTAAAGATTTATTTTTAATTATGTGTTTATGTGTGTGTTTATGAGTACATGCACATGTGAGCGCAGGTGCCAGTGGAGTCCGGAAGAGGGTGTGGATCTCCCGGAGCTGGAGTTACAGGTGGTTGTGAGCTGCCTGACGTGGGTGCTGAGAACCAAACTTGGGCTCTCTGCAAGAGCAGTGTGCACTCTTACCTCCTAAGCCGTCTCTCCAGGCTCCTGCTTCAGTTTATGTTGCTCGATCATGTTTTATGATTGCTCTGTCTCTGCATATATCCTATTGTTTTCTCTCTGCTCTTCCTCATATCTGTAGCCCATGTATGCTTCTTCTCATTCTGAGTTCAGTTCACATTTTCTGACTCCCACGACCTGCTCTACATACTTCTTAATTATAATTTTTATTAAGTTTTCTATAACTTCCTATATAGGTTTAATGATCTTTAAACTCTATACACTGACCATGTGCCAACTTCC